AAGTAGAGGGAAATGAAGTCGGAATACAAAGAGGCAGAGTTCTAGGCATGCTGATTATATATGGCTTTGTAGGCTGCTATGTAGGGAGCCTCTGTCATTCTGGCTGCTTTATTGAGAATGGTTTGAGGGGATAGTGGTAGAACAAGGGGGGGAATGGATTGAGCAGTTGATGTAATAATGTAGATGTATGAAATGATAGCTTTAAATAGCTAGATTCTATATCTCATACATTTGTTTGATAATTGGAAGTAGGGTATGACAGAAAAAGAGGGATCAAGGATAACTCCAAGATTTTTAGCCTGAGCTACTGAAATGAAAGGATGGAATTGTCAGCATGCGAGATGGGTAAGGCTGCAGTTGGGGAACATTTTAAGGAAATCATCAGTAGTTTAGTTTTGCACATGTTAAAGATACATTTCTTAGACATTCAAGTGAAGATGTCCAGTAGAATGTTTCAAATGAGTCTAGAGTTCAGGAAAAGAGCTGAGCTGTAAGTGTTGGGTTATCAGCAGATGGATGACAAGATGAAGAGTGTGGGTAGGTGTTGAGAAAAAAAGATGGTCAGGGACTGAGGCCTGGGGTTTTCACAGCATTACAAGGATGGCTAAGAGGGACCAGCAGAGGAGACTAGTAAGGGGAGAGTGAGTGAGGTAATAGAGGTGGTGTTCTCAAAGTCTAGTGAAGAAAGAGTGCTGAAAGGTCAAGTAAGATGAAAGTTGGGAACTATTGCAAAACAATCATTGGTGACCTTAATAAGAACAGATTTAGTGGAGTGATGAGGGTGATAGACTAATTTAAGTACATAAAAGAGGGAATTGGAAATATCTAATATATATATGACTTTCGCAGAGTTTGCAGAAGGGAGTAGCATTATGGGGCAAATAGCTAAGGAGAGGAGGATTGAGACTTCTTTTTAAAATGGAAGCAAAAGAGTATTTTTTGGAACGTGTCATAGGGAATGATACATACAGTAAAGGGGAACTTTGATGCTCTTTTTCACTTTATTCTGATCTTTACAGTTATATGGAATCTTACTGAAGAGATTTTGATTTCTTTAATGAATTTTTTTCCTCCAGTTTCTTTACATTTTGCTTCCTGTTGTCTCATTTCTTTGAGAGAATACCAAATTTTCTTGTTTCCTGGATTGGCTCTTTGAAAGCCTCCTTAACTACTCTTTTTCTTCAGTTTGTTCAATACGAAAGAAGCAGTTGAGGTATGTTTTTTCAGTGTTATTGATTACAGTATTTTATTTGAGGATGTTGCTTAGATGCCCTCCCTTGTATTGCTGATACTACTGGATTGGGAGGGCAGTTTTTAGAAAGCTATTTACATACCGTTTCCTGATCCTGTTTTCTTATACTAATGGTAGCTTTTAATGTCTGCTGAACACTTAATTGATAACACTGTATACATTATTTGTGAACAGGATGCTTATTTTACTGTGGATATTCATTTGCAGCTGACATGACATGAGATTTGCCTGAGTAGCCAGAAAAATAAGACTGGGCATTTGCATTTAAGCAGAAATAAAGATAGTGTTACTGAAGTATGAATCAAAAGTTGGGTTATCATAAATCAGATGTTTTCCTGCTGGCATAATTTTTTAATTGGGGGCTGCCATTTCTGACAATGCTTCTTCAAAAGTTATGGAAGTAATTACCAAGTAACCATACTCCTCATCCTTTCTTGCGTTTCAGAGAACCTTGATGGCATTTTATAGCAGTTGTAATCATCTAATCTTAGTTTAACCTAAAAAATTCATTTTGAATTGGTATAAATATGTATAGCTATAGATCAGCAACTCCTAACTAAGGGATGTATATCAGAATTATGTAGAGTTTTTCAAAATCCACATATTTTAAAAGAACTCCCTGAATTCTGATGATTAAGAACTATCACTATTAGAAAAAGAGATTGTATACATTTTTATTCATCATAAAAGCTAATATAGGAATCTCTAATCCCAAACTTACTCTGCGTAGAATATTCTTTTATAGGGGCTCGTGGGTGGCTCAGTTAAGCGTCTGCCTTTGGCTCAAGTCATGATCCTGGGGTCCTGGGATAGAGCCCCACATCGGGCTCCCTGTCCTCAGGAAGCCTGCTTCTCCCTCTCCACTCCCCTTGATTGTGTTCCCTCTCTCGCTGTCTCTCTCTGTCAAATACATAAAATCTTTAAAAAAAAAAAAAGAATATTCTTTCATATCAGTGCCAGTTAGTAGAAAAATTAATAAAAATTTATAAAATCACAAAACTTTTTTTTTTCCCCTCCTAATATATATGACTTGAGCTGTCAGAGCAGTTCTTTGTTAGTAAATTATCCCTTTAGAGTTTGCCAGAAATTCCATACTACAAGGCACTTAGCCTTTCATTACCTTAGATTACTAGCCCTGAATCTTGGTATAACCACAGAATTAAATAATTTGCCCTTGTAATTTTATAGACCTTGGGAGATGTTCCCTGAGCATAAGCCAGAGAATCTACCTTATTTTATTTCCTTGTCTTCACCCTCCCAATTTTAGTCAAGTATTTTCAGTGCTAACTAAAGTTTACACTTCTTTTTTTCCTCTTTCCTATGATCCCAAGGATAAGGGTGGAATGTTTTCAGAGTCATCTGAGAGTTTAGATTGATTCCTAAAAGGCAGTATTAAAAAAAAGGATTTCTTAAGAGTTAAAAGAAGATAGTAGGAAGGGAAAAATGAAGGGGTGGGAATCGGAGGGGGAGACGAACCATGAGAGACTATGGACTCTGAGAAACAAACAGGGTTCTGGGGGGAGGGGGTTGCCTGGTGATGGATATTAAAGAGGGCACGTATTGAATGGAGCACTGGGTGTTATGCGCAAACAATGAATCATGGAACACTACATCAAAAACTAATGATGTATGGTGATTAACATAATAAAATAAAATTTAAAAAAAAAGTTGACTGGAACATTTAGGACCAGCTAGCTTACTTTTCTTGTAACTATGTTCTTTAGGTGGCAAAGATCTATTAAGATCTTTTTATCATTTCATTCCTGTTGCTTCTGTCATAGGCCAGGCATTGCTTTTTTCATTAGTCTATCTAAGTGTAATCTTTTTCATTGCTGTATTATCTCTTTAATGAAATAACATCCATCTTTGCCTCAGTTTTCAGTTTTCTAATCAAATTTTGCAGCTGGTAGTTTGCAGGCTAGAAAGCACCTTAATGTTCCTGAGAAAGAGGACTCAGCCACTATCCTACCTAAGTGTCTTCATTTCCACTTCCTTGCATATTCCGGTTTGGTGGTGGTGGTGGTGGTGGTGGCGGTGGTGGTGGTGGTGGTTGTGGAAGGATTATTTAAGGAGTAAGGATCCACACTACTTGACTTGGTGGGTTTAGGTCTTGAGCCAGATCAAACATTCTAGTGCTTTGTTGGCAACATTCCAGAGACCTAGTTATATTATATGTGATCTGTACATATCAGGGTTGTATATAATCCATATCATTGAGAGCATTAAGAAATTGGATTTTATGAGCTCTGGAAGTTTGCTGGGTGGAGCAGCCTGAAATTGAAATGAAGAAAGGACTTGGTTAATTATTCAAGATAGCTGGAGACTTGGAAGAATACATTGGGGGATCTATGGGGGATCTATCCAAAGGAGAGACTCCTCCAGAAAGAATGGGAAATTAAGATGGGTATTACTTTAGGCATAGAAAGCTCTCCTGCCCTCCCTCTCTTATTCCCCCCCTTTTCTGAAAAGAAATGGTATGCTTTTATCCTATTTACAAATTAATAATGGTACTTATGACAAATTTGAATAGCTTTGTGATTTATCAGAGAAAATAAATTTGTAGATAAACTGAAAAGGGAACAATAAAAATGCTCTAACATCTTTGAATTTCTGAAAATTTACTCATCTTCCTATATTGTAGAGATTCTCAACTAGGAATGTATAATAGAATTATCTTTGGAAATGCTTAAAATATCCTACTCCAGAAAAATTGACTCAATCTCCTCAGCAGTTGAATTCTAGACAGTACCTCCTTAGGTTTTTGAGATGTTCACTCCCTGGTTAAGAACCCATTTTCTCCCAGTGCTAGATTGAAGTTAAACTCTGAAAATTAGTATTTCATTTTGTTTTTACTATTGTGAAACTGTTTTATCTGTTACATAAGAAACCTATCATAACATTTAAGGAATAGAGTCAGTAGATAGGAAGAAACTGGGAAAATAAGGGACAAATTATGCTACTATTTAATCATAGTTATGATTTTAAATAGATAATTTGAAAGTTTTCAATTTTTTTAAGTCTAGTACTATTTTTATTACCCATTTTACACATGAATTTTTAAATTCCATAACAATATTTATAAATGTATGAAAGGCTTCTTGTTTGAGATGTTACTGTTTATTCAGCAGCACTATCTTGATGTGTTTTATATGGTTTGAGTTGTATTTTTAAAGAGTGTGCAGATAGCCTCATTATTTTGAAAACCAGCCTGTGTCATGTTTACTTTGTCCAATGTAAACTATTATCTGAGGGCTGGACTAGTAAAATTTGAGGAATAAAGGTAGAATATTATCATGTTTCATAGTATAATCAATAATTAAAGCTATATTATGTTCTTATAAATATAGCTATGCACAAAAACCTCACTTGGACCTGCCCCAAAGACCAAATAGAATTAGTAGACTACACATAAACTGAATTGAGCATTGCTTACTCCCAGCTTTTCCTTTGAGTTGGCATTGAAAAATGATCTTTTCTAATTTCCCTACCTATCTAGTTTCCTATTATTTTCCAAAAGGAACATTTTAGTCAGTTTTTTTCTCTGTTCACAGTTTGTTTCTTTCCATTGCTCAAGTTGTTGTTTCTAGCAGAATTTAATGGGATTCCCATATTGGTGGTCGTTTAGGTTGGATGTGGCTTTTAAATACTTCTTTTGATGCAAAATATGTGTATTTACATTGCTGAGTACTAATGTTATTCTGAAGAAAATTAATTTTAATAGTTTTAACTTGAATATGTTTTCTTATAGCAGAAAAAGAAAACTAAGAACTTCAATCCACCAACACGTAGAAATTGGGAAAGTAATTACTTTGGGATGCCCCTCCAGGATCTGGTTACAGCTGAGAAGCCCATACCACTATTTGTTGAAAAATGTGTGGAATTTATTGAAGATACAGGTAGGATAGAAGTATTATTGCAAGAGATTTAATTTAAAAGTTCACTTTTGCTATACCAACAGTTTGTCAAATGCTCATGATTCATAAAAGCTAAGTTTTGAAAGAGGTGTATAGTTCTCCTTAGGATTGATTGTCTTGAGTATTAACTCTAGACATAACTATCAGATACTTGATAAGCTTTGTTGTTAGCCATTAATGCTTTTGTTGGACTTCTTTTTGATAAATGGATATGTTGAATGCTAAAATGTTACTTCCCTTATTCCGGAATTTAGAATAACTTGATTATTAAATTATGCTACTATTTAATCATAGTTATGATTTTAAATAGATAATTTGAAAGTTTTCAATTTTTTTTAAGTCTAGTACTATTTTTATTACCCATTTTACACATGAATTTTTAAATTCCATAACAATATTTATAAATGTATGAAAGGCTTCTTATTTGAGATGTTACTGTTTATTCAGCAGCACTATCTTGATGTGTTTTATATGGTTTGAGTTGTATTTTTTTTTTTTTTTTTTTTTAAAGATTTTATTTATTTGAGAGAGAGAATGAGAGACAGAGAGCACGAGAGGGAAGAGGGCAGAGGGAGAAGCAGACTCCCTGCTGAGCAGGGAGCCCGATGTGGGACTCGATCCCGGGACTCCAGGATCATGACCTGAGCCGAAGGCAGTCGCTTAACCAACTGAGCCACCCAGGCGCCCCTTGAGTTGTATTTTTAAAGAGTGTGCAGATAGCCTCATTATTTTGAAAACCAGCCTGTGTCATGTTTACTTTGTCCAATGTAACTATTATCTGAGGGCTGGACTAGTAAAAATTGAGGAATAAAGGTAGAATATTATCATGTTTATGTGCATTTAAAAACATGAGTTAATCATGAAACCTCAGTAATTAAATGGACTACAAAATGTAATAGTTTGAAAACATGAACTAATTCCATCTTAACTTTATTTGTTCTTAATGATCTTCTTTGGTAAATAAGCATTGTTTAAAAGACAAAACTAGGATATCTGTCCTGTCTAAAATGTCAAGCTCATTTTTACTTGGATGTACAGTTCTATACCTGTTGGGTTGTCTTTTTGGTGAGAAGTGCTGACTTTTAAGTTTTAATAAAGGAGTAGAATATGGGACAATAACTATTATCCACTAGTATTATAGTTGAAATAGCCTATATCTTCCCTGTTCCGTTAATAAGTGTTAATTTATAGAGCCTACATTTGGATATACTCTTTTTTTAAAGATTTTATTTATTTGCCAGAGAGAGCCACAGTGAGAGAGGGAACGCAAGCAGGGGGAGTGGGTGAGGGAGAAGCAGGCTTCCCGCCGAGCAGGGAGCCTGATGTGGGGCTCGATGCCAGGACCCTGGGATCATGACCTGAGCTGAAGGCAGACCCTTAACGACTGAGCCACCCAGGCGCCCCTGGATATACTCTTAATCATTTGTTTTTTTCCTTCAGCAAAGTGTATTTTAGCCAAATTTCTTGTCTATATTTCTATCCGTCTTTAGCATAGTAGAAGTGCAAAGGTCCTTAAAATATTAGCTTTCTGCTTTGAGCTTAAAGAACTCTCATTTGCTTTAGTAAATAATTTGGCTTTATGGATATGACTGAGGAATTAGGAAGTATTTTTCTTTAGTAATTAGAAAATAATAAAGTAATGTGTTTTGTACATTTATTTTTCTTGAATATTTTCGAGTTGAGTGATTTGGTATGAGGAAAATGAATGAATTCCAAGTGTAAGATAAAATGAAATTCTACCCCAATTCTTAGCATAATTTGAATTAATTCAGTTAACTGACAGGTAATTTATATATTTAAGTGCTTTGTTAGAAGTGTACTGAGGTACCATAAGACCATAAGAACATATACAAGATAAAGCCCAGTTCTTGTGTGGTGGTAGTGGTAGTGTATTTGATTTACTGATTAATGCTGATGCGTTTTAGCAGAAAATTCTCAGTTGCTTGAGTTCAGTATTGAATTCTCAATATGCACTTGTAGCACAACCATCTTTTGAAGGTTTTACTTATAATGTAAATATATATCAGATACTTATATTTAAAAGTCGTACTTTGTTGTTTGGAGATCCATAGACATAGTGGTGTAAATGAGCAGTCCTTTTACTGTTAATAATCAATCAACAGGCCTTGTTTAAAGGACTAAACTTTGGGCGCCTGGGTGGCTCAGTTGGTTAAGCGACTGCCTTCGGCTCAGGTCATGATCCTGGAGTCCCGGGATCGAGTCCTATATCGGGCTCCTTGCTCGGCAGGGGGTCTGCTTCTCCCTCTGACCCTCCCCCCTCTCATGTGCTCTCTCTATCTCATTCTCTCTCTCAAATAAATAAATAAAATCTTTAAAAAAAAAAAAAATAAAGGACTAAACTTTTTAAACAACCTTGAAGAAGCCATTATGGTAGTTTTAAAATTCAACTTCACTGATGATTTACATACAGTGAAATTCACCCGATTTTAATTGTGCAGTGAGTTTTGATAACTCTAGTCATTTAAACACCACCACAGTCAAGATAAAGAACATTTTCATCCCCCAAAAAGCATGCAGTGTTTCATCATGAAGTATAATAATGATAGCTAGCTGTTGGGGGTTTTTGTAGATGCTGTTTATGAGGTTGAGAAATTCCCTTCTATTTTTGTTTCCTTGTATCCAAAATGGATGTCAATTTTGTCATGTGATTTTTCTTCATCTGTTGAGGTGATCATATGGTTCTTTTTAAAGTCTGTTTATATGGTAAATTATATTAATTGATCTTCAAATGTTAAACTAAACTGCATCCCTGGGATAAATACCACTTGGGCATAACATTTTGTCTTATATTTTGCTGGATTCAGTTTATTGAAATGTTAAGGATTTCTGCTTCCTGAGGGATATTGGTCTATAGTTTTCTTTCCTTGCAGTGTCTCTTTCTGGTTTTGGTATCAGAGTAAAACTGGCATCACAGACTTGAGTCTGTTTTCTAAAAAGTTTGTACAGAATTGGTAATATTTATTAAATTTTAGTACAATTCATCAGTGAAACTGTTTGGACCTGGAATTTTATTTATGAGGAGGTTTTTAACTGTGGATTAAAATTTTTAAGTAGATACAGGGCTTTACAGATTTTTCATTTCTTGAGTAAGCATTGGTTTTTTGTGTGTCTTTCAAGGAGTTTATCCATTTCATCCAAGGTGGCATAAGCTTGTTTATAAAATTCCTTATCAGTGTTTTAATGCCTATAGCATCTGTAGTGATGTCTTCTCTTTTGATTATGTATCACTAATTTGTGTCTTTTTTCCCCCTCATGAGATATTTATCAGTATTACTGATCTTTTCAAAGAACCAACTTTTGGTTTTATTGATTTTTGTTTCCTGTATTTTGTCTGTTTTTTAATTCAGTGAATTCTTTTAATTCTCTTTTTTTCTGCTTCATTTGGCTTTATAGTGTCTTAAAGTAGAAGCCTAGGTTAATGATTTTGACCAATCTTTACTATAACATTTAATGTTAACTATTTTCCTCTAAGCATTATTCTAGCTGTATACCACAGATTTTGATATGTTTACATTTGCATTCAGTTTGGAATACTTTGTAATTTCCCTTTTGATTTCTTCTTAATTTAACTCATTGGTTATTTTAGAAGTATTTTATTTCCTTATTTTTTTAAGATTTTTATTTATTTGACAGAGAGAGAGAGAGAGAGAGACAGCGAGAGAGGGAGCACAAGCAAGGGGAGAGGGAGAAGCTGGCTTCCTACAGAGCAGGGAGCCCAATGTGGGGGCTCGATCCCAGGACCCTGGGATCATGACCTGAGCCAAAGGCAGACACTTAACGACTGAGCCACCCAGGCGCCCCTTTTATTTTATTTTTTTTAAGATTTTATTTATTATTTATTAGAGAGCACAAGCAGGGGGAGCAGTAGGCAGAGGGAGAGGAAGAAGCAGGCTCCCCACCAAGCAAGGAGCCTGATGTGGGGCTCAGTGACCTGAGCTGAAGGCAGACGCTTCACTGACTGAGCCACCTAGGCTTCCCAGAAGTATTTTATTTCTAAATAATTTCCAGATATCTTTGTTACTCATTTCTAGTTTAATTCTATTGCAGTTGGAAAACAAGCAGTTTGATTTTACTGTAAGTTTATTTAGATTGTTTTATATCCCAGAATATACTCTGTTTTGAAGAATGTTCCGTGGGACCTTGAATGTTTTATTAAGCTGTTGGGGTGAAGGGTTTTTTAAATGGGAGTTAGATCACGTGACGTTCTTTAAGAAGTCTCAGATCCTTCCTGATTTTTTTTGTTGACTTTTTTTTAAATTACTTATAGAATACTTTTGAAATCTGCCATCATGATTATATGTCTTTCTCCTTTTTAATTCTGTTAGGTTTTGCTTCATGTGTTTTGAAATTCTTTTAGTTGCATATACATTTAGGATTATGTCTGCTTTATGAACTGAGCTATAATTATAAAGCATTCTCTTTATGCTTTATAGTATTCCTTCTTAAGTCTACTTTGTGTAATATTAACATAGCCAGTGGTATTTTCCTTGAGTAATGTTTGTGTGGTATATCTTTTCCATCCTTGTAGCCTATTTGTATCTTTATATTTAGTTTAGCTTCTTGTAAGCAGCATATCATTGGGGTTGATAATTCATTTCTGTTCATGGAGTGTTTATTAGATCATTGGATTTTTTTATTCATTTATTTGACAGAGCACAAGTAGGCAGAGTGGCAGGCAGAGGGAGAGGGAGAAGCAGGCTCTCCACCAAGCAGGGAGCCGGATGCGGGGCTTGATCCCAGGACCCTGGGATCATGACCTGAGCTGAAGGCAGACGTTTAACTGACGAAGCCACCCAGGCACCCCTTAGATCGTTGGTTTTTAATTATCAATATGATAGGTTTTAAATCTCCCATCTTGTTTTTGTTTTTGTCCATGTGATTATTATTCCTTTTTTCTTCTTTTCCTGCCATCTTTTGGATTAATTGAATATTTTAAAAATTATGTTTTACCCCAAATTTGG